GCACCGCCGGCAGGCTCCCAGAAGCGCCGTGGCCACGCCCGCATGCCCCTGGGCCAGCACCTCCTCCAGCCCCGGCCCCAGCTCTGCCAACACCTTCCCCAGCTGAGAGGGAACAAAGAGAGTGTCAGGGGGCGGGGCCAAGCTCACCCACTAGCTCCTCCCCCCATCAGGTCCAACCTCCCTCCACATGGACCCCATTCACCCCCCCCACAGCTCCACCCCACTCCCCACCATCTGCTCCATGCCCCCTCCCCCCACACCTCCCCCTCCCTGCCCAGCCCCCGTGGCCCCACTGACCAGCTTGGGGGGCGCGGCCCCGATTAGGCGCTGGAGGGTGAAGTTGGCCACCCCGTGACCCGCCAGCGCCCGCAGCTGGCCCCGGAAGTGCTGGCGGTAGAGCGCCCGCAGCATCCGCGGCTCCGACACCTCCAGCACCTTGTCCAGCACTCGGCTGCAGACGGGGTCCTTCAGGAACACCAGCAGGGGGCTGCAGGGATCGAGGGGCCGTTAGCCAATCAGACAGCACCGGCTTGGCCCAATGAGACTGCACCCCAACCCGCTTACAGCCAATCAGAGTACACCCATCCAATCACCAGCCCCCTGGCTCAGCTCCTGGCAAATCTGAAAGCAGCTGCTCACAGCTCAGCCATTCGTAACCCAGGTAGGCACAATCACCAATCAGAACCAAATCACCAATTCCAGCCCACTTCCCTTCTCCTGACCAATCAAAAAAATACCCAGCCAGCTTCCAGCCATTCACACCCCACCTAAGACAGCTGCTGACCCCATAGCCAATCAGAGCCCTCACGGCCACAGCCAATCAGGAGGCTCACCTGCATCCAGCGGAGGGGTTCCGTGAGCTCAGGTAGCCAATCACGGAGCTGCACAGCTCAGCGCAGGCCTCGGGCAGCTTCCTGTGCAAAACCTCCAGCGCCACCTGCAGGCAGAGGCTGGCGACTCTGTGGGTGATGAACTCTGGGGAGGGGACAGATGGACGGGGTGAGTCATGGGGGTGCCCCCAGCAACTCCAGCCCTGGCCTCTCCCAGCAGGGGGCGCTGTGGGGTGCTCCCAATCCCGCAGGGGGCGCTGGGGTCGGCTCACCTGCGATGTTCTCCTCGAAAGCAGCAATGAACTCCCGCAAGAGGGCCAGGAACGAGTCCGGGACTTCAAACTCCGCCGGCCCCTCGCTCTCAGCTTCAGCCCGTTTCTTGTGTGGGGCAGGGGGCCCTGGAGGGGCAAGATAGGAAGAGCAGGATGAAGGGGACCATCAGGTGGCGAAAGGGGTGACACTGTGAGTCGTTAACCTGCGGAACTCACGGCCACTGGATATTCAGAGGGCAGAAAAAATGAAAGGCCAGGGATGGGGGATCAGTTCCCCCATTCTTCCTACACCCCCTTGTGCTGGACCCTCATGCCTCTGTGGGGCATTCTGCCACCCCTCTTCTCAGTCTCAACCCACACACACACATACTGGGTCCCATTTTACACTCCCCTTCCCACCTGGACCCCACTGTCCCCCGCAGCTGCTGTACGTCTCCCCACTACTGAGTCCCTTGTCCCCTGCCCCATCACAATGTGCCCCTCCTTGTTCTCTCTCCCCATCCCCCTCAGTCCCCCACCTTCTGTTTCCTCCAGTCTCTACCTCCTCTTGATTCTCCCCATCCTCCCTTCCGATTCTCCCCATCCTCCCTGCCCAGTCCCCACCCCAGACAGCACCCCCCATTGGTAGTGTGTGGAAGGGACACTGGCCCCGATCAATACTCACCTGTCCCCGAGAGCCCCCGGGCCGCATCAGAGCCGACACGGACTCCCCCCAGTACCTGCAGCAGGGTCCTCACCACAAAACTGGCGTGGGGGTCCCGGGCGAAGGCCCCCAGCTCCTCCCTCACGGCCCGCCCCAGCTGCAGCACCAGCTCCTCTAGCGTCCCAGCATCCTCCTCTCCCAGCAGCCGAGGAGCCCGGAGCAGGGCAGCCTCCAGAACATGGGCACCACAGGGGTGGCAGGCGGCCTGGCGCAGGGCAGGCAGCAGGGGGCACAGGAGCTGGACCAGCAGGGCAGGCGAGGCCTCGGGCAGCAGGGCCTGGAGCAGCAGGGAGCCGGAAGGGTCCAGGGCTAGGGGCAGCGCGGAGCCCACCGCCTCCTCCAACACGTTGGTAACAAACAGACCTGGGGGGAGAACACAGTGAGAGATGTACAGCACCATGCACCCCTGTGACACTATGAGTGGAATATAATCTCCCATTGAAAGGTGACATAGGGCCAGAAAGAGTTAATTAACTCACAGACTGACCTGACCCAGGGCCAAACTTTATAAAGACTGGTTAGGAAGATATGTAAATACATAGAGCTTTGAAATGCAACCTGCATTGTCAGAGCTAGAGGGGAGATGTTTGCTCAGGTCTTGTAACGTCAGCAAACAAGTCTCGTCTGTTGATATAGCTTTGATTCAGAGATCAAAAAAGGAGCAGTACTGTAATATTTAGGAAGATACTTGAGGGAAATAGTATTATTGTCTATATGTCTCTTTGAAGGTTGTGGCAACCTGTCTCTGAGTAGTCTGTATCCGCAAAAAGAATAGGAGTACGTGTAGCACTTTAGTCTCTAAGGTGCCACAAGTACTCCTGTTCTTTTTGTATCTGAACTGTTTAATGGATAAGTTACCCTGTGCTAATTGCCAGGATGGGGAGAAGGGAAGTGAAGCCTATTGTTTTCTCAGGCCAAAAGGCTGCTGGAAATGTATAAAAACCCCGGGACACGAGCCTTCATCAGAGATCTGCTTTGGGTTTCAAGAGGGGGAAACCCTGAGCCACAAGGCCTGAGATCCCCAGTTATTGACTGGAGTCACCCTGAATATGGACATTGGACTAGTTCTAAGAGGACATTTGGCAACGACAAGCTCATCTCTGCTATATGTATCTAACCCTCAAGAACTGAAGGCGTCCGTCTGTATATTCATCTTTTAACCAACTCTCTCGCTCTTCTTTTTTAATACATTTTAGCTTAGTTAACAGGAATTGACTATAAGTGCGTATTGGGGGTAAGATCTACGTTCTCATTGGACCTGGGTGTGTGGCTGATCCTTTGGGGTTAGAAGAACCTTTTCTTTATATGATGAGATAAAATGTTCAAATCATCATCAGACCTGACAGGTGTGTCTGGGTGGAGGTCTGAGGCTGGGCACTTTAAGGGAACTTCTGAGGCCCCCGGGAGGTAATACAGTGGCTGGTTTGGGCTGGTTGGTAAATCTAAGGATTGGAAGATCCACCAGCGTTTGGGGTTTGCCCCGGTCTGTTTGCAGTTCACCCTGATTGCGTGACCTCAGCTGGCTCCCACGGGCAGCATCGTCACACCTGCCTCCTTCTCCCCTTCCTCCT